CTACTGCTACTTCTACTACGACGACGACGACGACGACTACTACTACTACTGCTACTGCTAGTTCTTCCACCACTTGGCATGGTCAGTGCAGGGCTTGCCTTTCAAATTTCGAGCCGCCGAGGTCTCTGGTCATCTACGAGCCAATCCGGGAGTTCTACGTGAAGGCCCTGAGCGGTGACACGGCGCAAGGCAGGGTTTTCGTTCAACCAAGCTCCGTTTCCCGAGTTTAAGCAGGCATGCTGAAGCTGTGTGCTGCTTCAACCCCAGTCAGTGCAGGAAGGACACATTCGTTGCTGTCGGTGATGTGGCTTGTGTGCTCAAGCGAACTCATTGTTGCAACATGGCACGGCATGGCACGGCCGTGGACGGCATGTACGAAGATCACTTTGACAGCCGAGCGGCAACAACCATTTCAAACACAGCAAGGGGGCAAAGAGTACTGGTACAGGCATGTCGTGTAGAGTCTGGCACACCTTGCTGCGCAAATTGTGATTTTTCTGGATATTTCCACCAAAAATCACTTCCATTCAGGGCCCAGCTTCGTTCAGCGGCTGGCAGCAGGCGGCACCGCGGGCGCGCTGGCCATTGCTGTGTTCAACCCAGCCGAGGTTGCGTGTAGAAAAGGGATCACAAGTACTGGTAGACAGGGAAGAGAGACATGGAAGTACGGAGAGAGAGAGGAAGGACTGACCACCACTGGGAAAAGGGGCTGAAGGCGGAGGTGGAGGTGAAGGAGCTGAAGAAGGAGACGGCGAAGAGAAACGCGCAGAAGGAGAAGGCAAACGAGGACGAGAAGAACGAGAGAGACAGAGAGAGAGAGAGAGAGAGAGAGAGCAGGAACTTCAGTACCAGAGCGCATGCGGACGGAGAGAGAGAGAGAGATCCTTGTTGGACCAGATGACGTAGAGCCTGGGAAGCCGAATCCTGATGCTGAGCATGGGCGAGCCGAACCATGTTGATGCGCTGACTCTGTGTCCTAGGAGCTTTCGGGGTTCCCCCAGCAGTTTCGTTGCTGCCCAAGCTCCATGCCACTCCAGTAGGGCCTCATTCATGCAGGAAGTGGGAAACTTTCTGAACAATCCTCGGTGTAGGTTTTTAGGTCGAGGCCTCGTATCATGCTTTACGAACAGGGATGCCCCTCGCCCACTTCCATGACCCCTGAACGGGAAAATCCCCACAGAAGGGGTCGTCATGCTTCGAAACATGCCCACCTACCCTTGGATTGCAAGCCGTGCGCTGCTCAATCTGCCTGTTGGAGTTGTGTTCCGCAGAGCTGCATCTTGTCCTTTTTGAGCGAACAATCCATCTTTTGGGCATGCGGCATCTCACCGTCGGCGCCCGCAACAGGCGGGGGCGCGTGATGCGCGCGGTGGGGAGGCAACTCCCCAAACAGAGAGAGAGAGAGCGAGAGAGAGAAGCAGCAGGGGAGGGGAGCAGAAGAAACACAGAGATAAGAAAAAGGAGGAAGGGGTAGAAGAGGCAGAGACTTGAAAAGATGAAGCAGAGGATGAAAAAGAAGGCGAACAGGGAGCAGGAAGAGCATGTGCCGAACAAAATCGAGAAGAACGAGAAGCAAAACGATGAATTGGACGCGACCTGCGTGACAAAGTGACTCGGGAGTTTCCAATAGTAGGGTTTAGGGTTTAGGGTTTAGGGTAAATCCTAAACCCTAAAAGGACCCTTCATCCGATGCAGCGGAACCCGGTTTTGCAGTGCCTCCAGATTTTGCTTGGAGGTTCATGGGTAGTTATAAGTAGGGTTATAAGTCCCCTAAGAGGGGTTATAGTTATAGTTACCATACTTACAACCCTACTTATACCTACCCATGAACCTCCAAGCAGATTCTGGGCCAGGTCATCAAAACCCAAGTTCAGCCGCCTGTCTGCAACGCTGCCAGGGGTTTCTGGTTTTTTGGCCGGTGACAGCAGGAATTAGGCATCGGTTCCGGTAGGGCAGAGCTTCGTCGGTGGAAACTGCTTCATGAGCCTGGACCTCCGAGAATAGACTCTCAAACCCTAAACGCTAAACCCTAAACCCTAAACCGATGTGAAAAGAACGCTTCAAGCTGAGCTCTTCAAGACCTCCAGGACCCACACCGGTAGCGGGTTGAGCATGGCCGTCGTTGCGCGGCGTGTCTGGGGACAGGACTCCCCATCTGCTGTCGGAACATAAAGAGCCTTCTATTTCAGGAGCTGATGGGGAACAGGCGCCCGTGTTGGTTGCCATGCCTTTACAAACTCTGCCCGCTTTATTTTTAAGACTTTTCTGAAGGTTTTGGATCCTCAGTTTGTCTCTAGGTTTGCCTCGGAGCCCTGTGCGCCTGTGCAGGATGGCATTGCAGGCTTTTGGGCAGGCTGGCATTCGGGGGGAGGGGGGGAGGGTGGAAGGATGCATAGCAGCGTGGACCCAAAAGACCATCCCCGACGCCAGGTGTCCGACCGAACATCGCTCGGACATTCCTGGTCAATGCTGCAGAGCTTGGCACGTATGACGAGGCAGCGGTTGTCCGTTCGTGTCATAACACAGAGCAAGACCAGAACCGTGGCAGCTCCGAGCCCCTACTGTAGCGGCCTAAATAATTACTTACTTTCTTTGGGGTTCCTTATTATAAATATAGTAGAATGGGCCCCAAAACCCTATTCTAATTATTAAGGCCCCTAAACCCTTAACCATTATAGTAGCCCTTATAGAACCCTTTAAGGAACCCATTAAGGCACCTAAGCTTGTAGTTGCGCGCCTGGTGCTAGGCCAAGAGTCGGCTGAGGCCACACTTCGGCGACGGTCTCTTGTCGCATGTGCCTGGGCGCAGGTAGCGAAGGGTGCTTGGAGGTTCATGGGTAGTTATAAGGCTCCTTTAAAGGACCTATAAGAGGATCCTATAAGGGCTCTATAAGGGGTCCTATAAGGGGTCTATAAGGGGTCATACTTGGAGGTTCATGGGTAGTTATAAGTAGGGTAGCTATAATTATAACCCTATAAAGAGACTTGTAACCCCACTTCTAACTACCCATGAACCTCCAAGTGCTCGTATCTAGGTCGGTCAGGACATCAGTCTTCAACAGGAGGGGCATGCAAGATAACACAAGTCAAGGCTCCTTCAGCTACCGCAGTTGCAGCTTCTTGCAAAGTGCTGTAAGTTTATGCAGACCTTGCAAAAGTTTGTCCAGCAACCGATATCACTGATATCACCGCTTTAAACCCCTAAACCCTAAACCCTAAACCCTAAACCCTAAACCTGTGGCCGTTCCTTTTTAAGTTCCTGGCCCAGGTTGGAGCTTCGGGGATTGCAGGCTTCACCTCGGCGTGCGTGTCGACTCCGGCAGACGTGGTGAAGACGCGGCTGATGACACTGGTCCTGATGGTTTAGGGTTTAGGGTTTAGGGTTTAAGGTTTAGGGTGCTCCTCCCCTTTTTCTGTACCTTCTAGCTTCAGAAGTCGGTTACTACCAGTAGCAAGCTCACAGACTTCATGTTTGCGTTTCCCGGCAAAGGCGCAGGAAATCGTCTCGACATCCAGGACAGCGAGTTGCCAAGAAGCACAACACTACTGCCCACAGCAGTCAGCAGCGGTCCACGAGAACAGATGACAATACACTGCAAGGCACAACGAGAACATACTGCACATGGGGTTATGGTAGTATGATCAACGAATCTAAATGACAACGCACGGTTAACCAGTTTCCCAAAGAGCCACCGCAACACGGAGCACCTGACAAACAGTAGAGCGCACTGCAACGTGGAGCCATGACTTGTCTTCTGCTCACGGAAGCAGCGCTTTCCGGAGTGGTGTGGTTCGGGGTTTGGGTCTGCTTAGCGGGTTTTGGTGCTACTGTTGATGATAATTACAAATCCTGCATTACCTGAAGGGCCCCAAACTATTGGAATTATGGTATATTCCTTATTCTGGGTAATGCAGGTGTTATATCATCAACCGTAATATCGTGCTTGCTGGACTCTCCTCATTTTCCGGGGCATGGCGGCGCGCGGCGGAGCATGCGGAGCGGGAGCGGATACCATGGGGAGCGTTGGTGAACCGAGAGCCGGGTGCCCTCTGCCTTTTCACCGATGCCTTCATAACTTGCATGGGTAGTTATAAGTGGGGTTATAAGTCCCCTAATATGGGTTATAATTATAGTTACTCTACTTATAACCCTACTTATAACTACCCATGAACCTCCGATTAACTTGCAGCCCGAGGAACTGTGCCGGGGGTCAGAAGCAGTACCGAGGCCAGAGGAATACTAAGCTCTTTTGCTGTTGCTTGGGAAAAAACCCCAAATCCTACACATTACTTGGAGGTCCATGGGTAGTTATATGTGGGGTTATAAGTCCCCTAATATGGGTCATAAATATATGTACCCTACCTACCCATGAACCTCCAAGTAGAGTCAGCAGTGTGATTATGAGGCATGGCAAAGTTTCTCATGGGATTTTCGAGGTCAGAATCCTTGTGCAGTTTTCTTGATCTCCGACATGAGATGTTTTCGCTTCACAGTTTTGATAGGGCGCAGAACGGCAGGCTTCTCGTGGTTTCGGCAGTTCGAAAGCTTTGATGGTCTGTGTGAGCATCCTGTGAGCGTTTGTGCTTTGCATGACCTTGCCCAGATGGTCTTTTGCACCGCTTCGTCGCTTGTGCGCAGCATCAAGCTGGCCTGACTCTTTTTCTGAGTTTCTTGCGTCCGCACGATTGTCTTGGCGACAAGGCAATGTATGCCAGTTTGTCGTTGCCGTTCATAGCCAATGTCTCACGGTTGCCTTGTTCTCCATGCAGGTTCGGAGGTCAAGGTCAAAGGGACGCCCCACCAATGCTTACAAAGAGTCACTACGGGTTTAAGGCACAGAATCGTTGATGGAAGTTTCAGTCATTTTCATGAGCAGACTGCGCCATTGCCAATCATGCCAATCGCGAGTACAGCTGCGTGTTTTCGTGGCAGATCTTGCAGTACGTGGCGTCATGGTGCATCAGGTAGCTCATTTCCATGTCGATGTCAATCCTGGCATCTTGAAGGCATGTTTCATGCCTTCAGCCGCATTCTCCTGGACGAGGGCGTCGGTGCGCTGTACAAGGTGCCATCAGTTTCAGTTGAGCTTCGCCACTTCATCGGATTGAGCTTACATCACAGGACCAGGATCCTGTCGCAGATGCAACAAGAAGAGACCCGAAAGCGCCACACCCCAAGCCCAACCCCAGCATCTCTTACACCGGCTTGGTCGTGTGCGTCTTAACATCCATGAATAACTTTTGGTGCCAAGGGATTCCTGCCGATTTGTGTGCGCGACTCGCCGGCAGAAGTGATGCTGAATCAGGGCTAACAGGGGGCTTGTAGGGCTGTTGCTGCTAGCAAAGGTGCACTTCGAAAGTCGTCATGCTCAGCTCATCTATCTAAGAGCCAGCCGAGGCAAATTGGTTTGGTGCGCAGCATTCTTCGTGAGCTACGAAAGAATCCGCGCCGCTCTGAATGCGCGGTGAGGGAAACAGACGCATGCAGCGCCGGCAGGGTGTACCTGTGATGTGTGCCTCGGGTTATCTCGGCAGCAGTGTTTTTCTCGTGTGGGTTCCTGTTTAATATCTTGCGATGGACGAATCCCAACAATGGTTTAGAGCTTATCAAGTCCAGCTGCACAATGACTCTTGAGTTTGTGATCAGAAAAGATGGTTCTTTGTCCACTTTTCAGTATCTCGGCCATCTCCCATCTTCCCTCGCCGAACCCTAAACCCTAAACCCT